CGGGGCCGAGGGGGCGTGGCCGGAAGTTCCGCCCCCGGAGATCCTTGCAGGGCGCTGCGGCGCGGTTAGCTGTCCTGCGGACCAGTGGCTCTCCATATTCTGGTGTCAGGCTTGGAATTGCCCAATAAAGTGCAGGCTGCCCGGTTACGTTTGAACCACGGACAGACAAAAATGTCAGTTTAATGTAAGTGTGCCGCACGCGACTGTTGTTGGTCCGAAATTCACATTTGACTGAGCCTCCTGTGTTTTTCCAGGCTGAATCTGGCAAACCCACTCAGGACCCCTTTCCAATTTCAAACTCACTGCATAGGCGCGCTTAAAAATCATTGGAAATCACGAAGACTGTTGTTTGGGTGCGGTATACCCGCAGACATGTATTAGAAATGAGAACAGGCATTTTTTTTTAATTTTAATTTTTTTAAGAGAGCATACATTTTAAACCCTAGGACGTCGAGCACGCGTTGGGCGATGATGTCATTGTTAGGTTGCCTCTGAGCACGAAAAGGAACACCAGTGTGAGGTGAGAGTGGAAAGGAAAAATAACCGGCTTAGTCTGGCTGGGGAGCAGTGTAGGCTCAAGGACCCAGTAAAAGGGTCCCTAGCAAGCGGCCCTTGGAGCTCACAGGAGAACAGCTGGTCTCGATTAGGTGCATTGGAAAGTCAGCTGACCTCCTACTGTGGCCAGGGTACAAAGGCCTGGCCAACAAAGCGAGTTCCTCCCCAGCCTCACTTGTAAAGTGGTGGTTGCACACCCCTCTGCAAGCACAGTATTGACGCCAACGCTGATAGAGATCTTAGCCCTGTGTGACCATTGAGTGGGTGGATGCTCAACCAAGGTCCCGCGATTTGGACTAGTTGCCACTACTGTCCCTGCCCCCAACACCAAATCGGGACAGAGCTTCTGGGCAGCCCTGTGGCCTGTGCTGTGGCTCTGAGCTTAGGTTTCCCCAGCAGTACAACAGAACAACACTGCTTTCCAAACTCATTGTGGGAATCAAAACCCATTGCAAAATGATTCCAGAGCTAAAGAGTGCTGCTTCATTTTAGAACAATGCATTGTTTGTGAGGGAATGTACGCTGAATTCCATGCTGGCTAAACTACCTGCCCTTCAGTCACTAAAAACTTTGCCCCATCCCCCAACTTCCTGTACATCACACCATATTGGCTTGCATCAGACCAACAATCACTCATACAAACCATTCTCATTGATGCCTCCCTTTACCTCAAGATCATGTGTCACAGCCCCTGGCCACATCCTAAACCTTCCTGAGATCATCAGGAGGAACAAGGCCACTCTTTTCTTTTTTTTTTTTTCAAAGTAAAAATATTTTTTATTCTTTTAAAAAATCATTTTATTAGGGGCTCATACAACTCTTATCACAATTCATACACACATCCATTGTGTAAAGCGCACTTGGACATTCATTGCCCACCACTCTTTTTCCTTATACATTTATTTTGTTGTTGCTAGGGGTCCTGAGTCAGTTCCAACTCACTGACCCTGTGTAAAATAAAAGGACACATTGCCTGGTCCTGCGCCATACTCAAAATTGTTATGTTTGAGCCGATTGTTGCTACCACTGTGTCAGACCATCTCATTGAGGGTCTTCCTCTTTTTTGCTGTCTCTGTACTTTACCAAGCATGATGGCCTTTTCCAGGGACTGGTCTCTCCTGATAATGGGTTCAAAGTACATGAGTAAAGTCCTGACATCCTTGCTTCTAAAGAGCATTCAGGCTGTACTTCCAATACAGATCAGTTTGTTCTTTCGGGAGCCCATGGTTTTTTCAATAGTCTTCACCAGCACCATAATTCAAATGCGTAGGTTTTTCATTAGTCTTCCTTATTCAGTGTCCACATTTCATATGAGGCTATTGAAAATGCCATGGCTTGGGTCAGGTGCAGCTTAGTTCTCAAAGTTACATCCTTGCTTCTCAACACTTTAAAGAGGTCCTCTGCAGCAGATTGACTCAATGCAATATGTTGTTTGATCTCATGACTGCTGCTTCCAAAAGCACTGATTGAGGATCCAAGCAAGATGAACTCTTTGACAAATGTATTTTACAGCTTTTAAAAGTGGGGTACAGTAAGCATCCTGTAAAATATTTAATTCATACATGTACACTCTGATAATCACCCAAATAAACTCAGTAACCACCAAGCAAATCAAGAAATAAAACATTATTACCCCAAAGCCACCCCCGCTTCTTGTTCTTTACCCCGAGGGAATAACTGCACTGTTGATTCCGTGGATTTCCTTAACCGGGCTAACAAATTCCCTTCCTGTCCTACTTTTATCATGAATGTATCAAATGCTTTCTAATAATTGGGATTACGATGCTTTTCCTTCTTTATCAATGTATGCATTGCAATGACTTCTGGGTATTACAGTGTAATGACCATTTTCTGGAATAAATCTAACTTGGTTGCAATGTGTTGTCCTTTGGAACATACTGCTGGATTTGACTAAGATTCTGTTTTGAGCTCTGTACCTCTATGCTCATGAGTGAGGGCTTTGGGTTTCTTTCTTGTAATAAAATATCTTTGTCAGCTCTGGGCATCATGCTGATGTCTTCTACATAAGATGAAGTAGGAAGCATTTCCTCTTTTCGTTGGAACCGTTTATGTAAGATTGGTGTTCTTTCTTAATGTTTAAAATAATTCATTGGTAAAGAGCTCTGTCCTTTGAATTTTCTTTGTAGTTTTAAATCATGGACTTAATCTTTAAATATTAGGATCTTAAAGTTTTCTACATTTGTGTCAGATTTGGTGAGTTGTGGTTTTTAGGAAATGTGTGCATTTCATCTGTTGCGTAAAATATATTTTCATAAAATTGTTATAACATTGTCTTAAAATGTCATCATGTTTACACGTCACTGCTATCAAGTTGATTCCAACTGAGGGTTCCTGAGGCTGTCAGTCTTTCGGGAGCAGTAGCCTTGTCTTTCTCCTTTGGAGCGTGTAGTGGTTAGATGTAGGAAAGTATAAACGTGTCAGTCAGGTCACAGTCTGAAGGTGCTGCCGTGTGTGTGTGTGTGTGTGTGTGTGTGTGTGTGTGTGTGTGTGTGTTACTCATAAGGGAACCCTGGGACTCTCTCTCTGCTACTCTGCCTTCCTCCATGTTGGATTTTGGTGGCTATCCTGAGAGTTAATGATTCCCTGCCATGTTTCCACCAACCTTGGATCCACACAACTCTGTAGCTGTGGCCTGTGATCTTCCTGCATTCCACATTATTGCCCGCGGCTGCATGAGTCTCAAGAGGGACTTATGGACTAATATTGGCCGTATGAACTTGAGTTGGACTAGACTAGGATGCTTTATTTATATATAATTACTTCTTGATATAACACTCTTTTAAAAAAATAATTGAAAATGAATATTGAGATAAACGCTAGCATTCCCAGTACTGATGTGCTTATATTAGCTGAAGTTACAAACACACTTTAGCATTCACAGTGGTGAGCATCCCCATTCTGATCTACAAAGCTTATGAATAAAGAAAAATACAAAACCTCAAGTTTTACAAAAGAAGTTTTCAGTTCTACATATATTAATAATATAACCATTTCTTCCAGGGAATACATAAAAGTGTGAAGGAATATCACTGGATTTCATTCACTAAAGGAAATGAAGGAAGGTTGAACATCAATGGCACTTGTTAGGGCCATCGAAGTGGCCCCCTTGGCTTCCCCTAGCCCCAAGGTTTCAGAGGCTATTCTGCACCTGTAGGTGATCCCACCTGAGATGTGGCTCCTATGGAGGTCTGTCACTGTACACTGCCCCACTATCTGGCGTCATTGGACTTCCCATATCTGCAGCTCCCTGGCAGGACTGGGCGGGACCCATAGGTAGGCCAGATAGAGTTCCTCTGTTGTTTATATGCATACCCATCATTGCAGGAGGACCTTGGCTATCAGCAGGTGATAGGTCTTTAAATGTATCTCCCATGTTTAAGGCTCCAAGATGTAATGGCTCCACAGGGACCCATTTCACCCATTCTCACGGCCTGTTCTCTCATTTGATTGCTCCCTTTAAACTTTTCCATATAGTTTGGCTTGCTGTCAGTTCTCCCTGTTCTGTCATGTCCATTCTGATTCACAACCAAGATGCCCTTCTCCACCTCTTAGTTGGTTTTGTTTGTACAGTTCTTGGTTTTGGAGTTTTTCCAAGTGTCTGCATTCTTCCTGATGTCTCACGAGATCTTCCCTCCTTGGCATTTTCTGGTGTTAGTGCCTATCTGCTTCCACTTCTGCCTCTCGTTCCTCTTGGGCTTCTCTGATGTTTCGGTCAACCTGCTCGCGCTTTTCCAGTTCGCCAAGAGCTTTCCGTCCAGAAGCATACTCCGTGTTAAATGCCCCAAGCTGGGCCAAACGCGGAAGCTGGTCTCTTTCCTTCTGACATTGTTGAGTCTCTGACAAGCCATCTTCATCCTCAAACTGCTCCCTACGCGCCACCGTGACTGAGGAGGGGGGTTGTTAGTAAGAAGGCACCGTCACCACATCTTTCCAATGCCTTCCTGCAGGAGGCTTGGCTGCAAGTTCTACAAAACCTTCTCCTGTAGGCTCTACCACAGTCGTCCACAACCCCAACGGCCTTCTCTACTGGACCGAACCAGGAAAGGCTTGTTCTAGAAGCTCTTCACAAACAACTGGAGAACGGTTCTTGATAGTTAAGGCTGCCCCCTGTGCAGCAAAGCAAATTCGGAGAGGTCTGCCCTTCACAATGGTGCCATCCAGCTCTGCTTTGGCAGTTATGGCCAATGTTCTGGATGCCAGGCAGATGACGCCAAAGCTGCGGTCCTCATTGATGAAGACCTCGCTGTGCTCACCCAGAGCTCAGGGAACCCCTTGACGTCCTACTTGATGATGTGGGTGGGCAGGTTCTCCATGAAGAGAAGAGCCGGCAGCGCAGCATGTGAAAGCTCTTTCTTATGTGTCTATGATTGTCTGGATTTGTTTCTCTGGGCAGCCTGTTCTACCACAGAGGGACTGTGAGTTTGAACTGCCAACCTTATGGTTACCCAGCAGTGCCCCAGGGGCTCCCTTAAGACGGATGTAGGATCTATAAAACAAAACAAAAACAAAGCTTTCTCATTCTTATTTTAAATCATTTTATTGGGGGCTCTTATAGCTCTCCCCTGGCCTCTGAGAGTGTTCTTTTATTACTTAAAAAATTTATTTTATTGGGGGCTCTTACAGCTCTTATAACATTCCATACATCAATTGTATCAAGCATATTTGTACATATGCTGCCATCATCTTCTAAACATTTACTTTCTATTTGAACCCTTTATGTCAGCTCCTCTTTTTTCCCTCCATCTCTGACCCCCTCCCACCTGAGTGAGCCCTTGATAAATCATACATTATTCCTGTTTTCATGTCTTACACTGACTGCCATCTCCTGTCACACCTTCCTGGGGGAGTGTTGGTATGCTTCTATCATTGCTATCAGTTCACCCCCACACACACCTTCCCCCCACCCTCCTGGTATCACTACTCCCATTTCTGCTCCTGACCTGGATTCTATGTATCATGAGCTCTTATCCGTAGCAGTGTACATTCTCTGGTCTAGCCTGAACTGAAAGGCAGGACTGGGGTCATGATAGTGAGGGGTGAGGAAGCTTCAAAGAACCAGAGGAATATTGTGTGTTTCATTGGTGTTTTACTGTGCCGTGGTTGACTCATCCCTTCCTTGTGACCCTTCTGGGAGGAGATATCCTATTGTCTACAGAAGGTTTTGGGTCTCTGCTCCAACCCCCCTCATTCTCAACAATATGTTTTTTTGTTTTGGGTCTCCTGGTGCCTCTTACCTGATTTCATTGACATCTCATGATCACACAGGCTGGTGTGCTTCTTCCATGTGGGCTTGTTGCTTCTCTTCTGGATGGCCGATTGTTTAACGTCAAGCCTTTAGGACTCTAGACAACATACCTTTTGATAGTGGGGCACCATCAGCTTTCTTCACCACATTTGCTTATGCACCCACTTTGTCTTCCGTGATCACATCAGGAAGGTGAGCATCACAGAATGCCAGGTTGTTAGAACAAAGTGTTCTTGTATTGAGAGAGGACTTAAGCAGAGGCCTAAAGTCCATCCACTTCTTCAATGTATTACCATATAAATATATGCACATAGACCAATATCTCTATTTTTATGAATTTTATATTTTCATATGTTTATACCTCTAGCCATAGCTTTGTTTCCTAGATCTTTCCTCCATTTCCTTTTACCTTCCTCCTGCCCCACCATCATGCTCACCCTTCTTCTGCCTTCGTAATTCCTGTCAGCTGGATTGCTGTTGCTCCATCACCACCAGGATCTCTACTTCCTCCTCGTTGTTCCTTTGAACTCCCTAGTTATTCCCCTGTCTATAGGGTTGTTTGCTCACTGCTCCTTCCCCTGCCTGCTCCTCCCCCCAGTCCCTCTGGAACGTCGGTCCCATTGCTTTCTCCCTGGACTTGCTTCCCATGCCTGTCTGTGTTTCTTTTTTAAATAATTTTATTTGGGGCTCTTACACCGCTTTTAACAATCCATACATCCATCCATCGTGTCAAGCACATTTGTACATATGTTGCCATCATCATTTAAAAAAATGTTTTCTATTTGAGCCCTTGGTATCAGGTCTTCATTTTTTTCCCCTCATGAACCCTTGATAGTTTATAAATTTTTTTTTCATGTCTTACACTGACCGCTGTCTCCCTTCACCCACTTTTCTGTTGCTTGTCCCCCTGGGGGTGGGGCATGCCTATCTTATATAGGTAGGCAAAGCAACAATAACGGACACAAAACAAAAAGAAAGCAAAAGATTGAACAAGAGAAAAAAAAGCATAAAATGAGAAAAAAAAAAAGAAAGAAAAAGCATACACAATTCCAGGTCTGTCGCCGCCCTTTATGACTATCTCCCCACCCGCCCTGGGGGTGGCAGTGGGTGTTCCAGGAACTGCCCCTCCTAACTAAAGTCTATTTTGAGGGCTTCTCAGGGAACACCCTCTCATTCTTGATATTGCCCGAACTTTTTCCTGGATCATTTTTATCATAGATCTATTAATGTTATCAGTCTTACCAAAGAGTTGCTTATTTTTACTAAAAGTCTCTTAAAAACTAGACACATTTTTACCTTTATTTTGGATAGTTTTTTATTAAAGTTGTGAGATGAATATTTAGATGACTTATTTCAACCTTTTAAAAATGGATATGCACAAGGCTATTCATTTCCTCTTAATTTACTGTTAGTTGCATATTCTCTTTTTTATTAGTAAAACCGTGAGGTGAGGAAAATGGATAAGAACCAAAACACAACACAACACAACACAACACAACACAGGGAAGCACCGTTGCTGACGGATCTGACCAATCTCCTGCCCCTCAGCTGTGCCTTAAGTCACAGCGAGTCAGACCTGGGCTTCCAGAGGTTTAGGGGCGAGGGTAAGGATGGCAGAATTCTCACATGGACACAATATGAGATGGGCACCTACCCTAGACCCAGAGGAAAAGCGTTCAATTGGAGCATATAGACACAATCTTCCAGAGAATTCTGCTGGCATGTGTAGGTTCACTGTGAATACAGATCTTAGTGTTTCCCAAGGGCTCGAAATCCACACTAAAGGACAGGAATAAAGCTGATTCCCAAAGGGATTGCTAGTATGGTCATCGTATAGTTTGCGTGATTTAGGTGTTTGGTGGTTCAGGGCAAGTTTCCGCTCCCATTCCCCAGCATGTGAAGAACTCCCGGGAGGAGTTCTTGCTTCCTTCTTTGCTCCTTGGCATCTAACTTTTCTCACGAAGCATTTCCCTCCGTCATGGGACGCACCAATAATATCACCATCCACCACACAAACCAATGCCTATTTTATATTAAACAAGTCTTACTTATTGGAAATACTTGTGTGGGGCCTCGTGGTGGGTCCCCTTCGTTTCGAAGATCTACCTCCTGTGTGCAGGGCAGTGAGGGCCTGGTGCAGGCGCTAACAGCCTCTCGCTAAGACTTCAGGACAGCTAGTGTGGGAAGCGGTCTTGGAGATTCGGATGCATTAGCAGAGGCTGTTCGATCCCTATGAGGCTCAGCCAATTGAGCTTAACGCTGAGCCCTTCTCCTTGGTAGAGGGGCCCCCGGCTCCTCCTCCTCTCCAACTGCCACTCCTCTAACTGTCGCTCAGAATGTTACCCCGCTTCTCCCGCCCAGCCACGCCCCTCTTCCTGTGGATGACCACTGGCCCGCGAGTGGGGGAAGCTTTTTAAGGACCAGGTGAAACCCTCCTGTAGTGACCCAGATACCAGCTAGATAGAGTTTCATGAAGAAAATTCGTTCGCCATGGTTTTGAATACTTTGCATACTTCCCCCCTTCTGATTTGTAGGAGAGCTCGGGAGAGAAGCAGCCGAGCTTGGACACTGGAGCACCTTTTCAAGCGTCGCCCTTGGTCAGGTTTGCTTGCCTCACAGGAGCTCCAGACTTTATGCCAAAGAGGACTATTTCTTTTCCTTTTCAAAATGTAAATATCTTCTTCGGTAGTTAGATAAATACTAAATGCTCCCTGTAAAAAGTTCATCCAATTCTGAGTATAAATGGTAGAGCTTAATAACTCTTTTGAGCTAGATAAACCTATCTACACAGTTTATAGTGTATCTTCCCAGTCTTTGGAAATGTGTGTTGGTAAAATATCAGTGGGATTTTACTGAATAGTATTTTTTCATCTGATTTTTTTCTTTCAAAAGTGTTATCATGAGTTTCCCATATTAATCCATGTAGGACAGTGTTTTTCTGCCCCAACGTAAATTGCTGGTGGGTATTAAGACTATTTAAATTATTTTTGCAAAATACAGCTATTGGGTCAATTTTTTGAATACTGTAGATGCTGACAAATAGCCCACTGAAAAAAGTAATCTCTGCTGCCAACTTCGGCGGAGGATTTGATAGCTGAATTCTCCCGAGGCAATTCAGGCACAGTGCCCAGAGTCCATGATACTTCCAGGGCCATGAACATGTATGTCTTCATTGTACTTTCTTTTAAAATTTGAAGAATACAGCCTGGATTACTTACTTTTCATATAAAAACCAAGAGTAATCTCTTGAGTCAGATCCTCACGGTCTCCTGCTGGGGAACTTTCAGGTTCCTCATTATTTTCATTTTATTTATTTTCGCTGTAACAAACTCCCATATAATTAATGCTGAAAAGAGGAGCCCTGGTGGTATCGCGGTTATTCATTGAGCTGATAACCCCAAGGCTAGCTGTTCAAAACCACCAGCCATGACTCGGGAGAAGACAAGGTTTTCTACTCCCTTAAAAAGTTACAATCTCCAAAACCCACTGGGGCAGTTCCACCCTGCCCAGCAGAGTCACTATGAGTTGGAATTGACTCAATGGCAGTGACTTTTTGAGTTTTTAAAATGTCTTACAATAACACACACTTAGTATTGTATTACAGTTCAGTCCAAAACCAGCTGCATTCTGCTAAACTAAGGTGTCAGTGGGGTTCTTTTCCTTTGTGGAGATTATGGACAAAAATGGTTTTATTTCCTCCTTTTAGAAGCTGTCTAAACTCCTTGGCTCATGGCCTCTTCTTCCACCTTCAAAGCCAGCAATGACATCATTCTGACCTCTGCTTTCGTCATCTCATCTCCCTTTCTGACTCTAGCCCTTCTGCCTCCTCTCAGAAGTAGGATCATAAGGATCCTTGTGATTGAGTTGGCCCATCTGGGCAGTCCGCAATAATTTTGTCATTTTAAGATATTTAATTTATTCTCATTTTCAAGTCCTTGGAGCTCTGGTGGCTAGCCGCAAGGTCGGCAGTTGGAACCCAGCAGCCACTTTGTTGGAGAAAGATAAGGCTTTCTGCTCCTGTAAAAATACACAGCTTCAGAAACCCACAGGGGCAGTTCTTCTCTGTCCAGAATCAACTCCTTGGCCGGGGCTTGGGTTTGGGTTGTTTGGTTTTTTTGCCATGTAAGATAGCATATTCACAGTCTTCAGAGATTACAATGTGGACATCTTTGGGAGGCCATTGTTCTGCCTTCAGCATGAAGTCCACATTCCTTCGTTTCTCTTCCTCGCCTCTTGTGACCTGCCCTGCTGCCCATCTGGCAACTGTCCTCCCACTTGCCCTTTGAACTCTCTGCTCTGGCCACAGGAACACCTTTCAGTTGGTGGCATCTGTTCTTTCTGTTTCCTTCACTCTTGGTCTCGGCTCATTTCTCTGCCCGTGCTCGGCTTTCCCCACCTCTTCACTTGGCTAATTCCTACTCATCCTCCAGCCTCCGGGTTGACCGCACTGCCTCAGTAGCTTTCAACAACCTCGCCTGCTTGTCGCATCTTCGTTCCTTCCTTCGTTGAGGAATCTCATTGCAGCTGCCGTAGCCTGTCTGCTCAGGCTCACATCGTCTTTTATATCGTTGGCTTAGTTCTCTTCTGACCTGTGAGCTATTTGTTGTTAGAATGAAAAGGGACGCTCCGCGATTCCCCCAGAAGAGGGGCTCACTGACCCCTTGTTGACGTACATTTGTGAAAACCCTAATTAGGTCATAGAACGCTAAGCTTTCACCCTGCAGGCTTCATTTACACTTATTTGTTCATCAGTCATTTAGCAAATGCCTATTAAGCACTGGCTTAATAAATACTCAGGAGAAGCCGTAAGGATCATCTCAGTGTTGTGAGAATGCCGAGATGATAGTGGTATGAACGTGAAGACCTGAGTAACACTTCTCCCTCCTGCAGGAAGATGGACCTGGAGGTCAGTGAGCCACTAGACTTTAGCTCTGGAGATCATCCACAGTTGGGGCGAAAGGCAGCGGATAATGAAAATGACCAGTCCAAAGCCGGTCCTGCCCACACACATTCAACTTCAGTTGGGTCAAGGAAAATCCCTGCGGATCCTAAGCCAAAGACTGATGAGCAATTGGACGCCTATATGGTACAAATTTCAGATGAGAGCAGCCCAGCTGAAAGTGCTACAAATGTGACCAACCAGTTCTCAGACGCATCTGTCCGCAGAGGTGAGAGTCCAGAAATGACCATGTTGGAAGAGAAAAGCACATGTGAACGTTAAAAGTTGCCATAGAGTGAGTTGTCAGAAAAAGAGAAAAAAAGAATTTTGGTTTTTCCTGATCCTGCTTTCCCGTGAACCGTGTAGGTAGGCCTCCTCCCAGGGACGGCCCTGAGAAACGCGCAGTAAATGTACTGGAGTGCCTAACTTTCAGTCTGCTTAGAAACTAGGAATTAGTCCTTGGTTGTAGGATGTCTTCATCCACATACAAGATGATGCCATAATTATGACTTCTGTTTCGTGAAAATCAGATCAATTCCTAGCTGTTCATGCTGCAGATGTTAGAAAATGCACAGAAGGGGAGGAATGGGGACCTGATCGCAATGTGATCAACACATAACCACATACACCCCTCCTCCAGGGGGACAAGCAACAGAAACCGTGGGAGAAGGGAGACAGCAGTTGGTGTAAGATATGAAAATAATAATATTTATAATCTATCAAGGGTTTCACGAGGGTTGCGGGGGGGGGGGGGGGGGGGGGGGGGGGGGGGGAAGAGGAGCTGATACCAAGGGCTTAATACAAAGTAAATGTCTAGAAAATAATGATAGCAACATATGTACAAATATGCTTGGTACAATTGATGTATGGATTGTTCTAAGAGCTATAAGAGTCCCCAATAAAATGATCTTTTAATTAAACAATAATAAATAAATAAAAAGAAAGTACATTAGCTGTGAGAGTATCAGAAATCTAAACAGTGGTGACTTAAACAAATGAGAAGTTTTGATTTTCTCTCATGAAGTATGGAGTTTGGAGGCTGGTAGTTCAAGGCTAATGCTGCAGGCCTCTAGGGTTCACTGGAACCTAGCATCCTTTGAGAGGCCACTCTGACCCCTTAGGCTCTCTTAGGGTCTGGGCTCCTTGAAGGGGAACCATTGCTGTCTTACTGGTGCTCCTTCCCCAGCCTGTGGCTGGAAATGCCCCGGGGCACCAGCTTTTCAGGTAGGAAGAAGGAAAAGCAAAGGACCAAGTTAGTCCAGGACAGAGGCTGGCCCACTGCACTTGCAACTCCAGGGGGTGCCAATCTTGAGTAGGTGCCTTGAGAAAGGCCCCATCTGGGCCCTTTCAGAGACATTCCCAGAAACATCAGTAAAATACTAGCAATTCAGACTGAGTAGTCTCCAACAGTTCTGTAGGGCTGTATTTTAAGTCTTATTCTAAGTTGCTGACTCTGAACTAATATTCCCTTTCCCATCCTAAGAGAGAAAGAGAGAGAGAGAGAGAGAGAGAGAAAGAATGAGAGCGAGCGAGCTCTACAACAAAAAGACTAACAATCAAAGTTTTTAAAAATAGGTAAAGGACTTGAATTGATATATTTCTAAAGAAGATCTACACATGGTCAGTATACATGTAAAGATGCTCATTGCTATTAGTCATTAGAGAACTGTAAATCAATGCCACAATGTGATGCCCCTTCATCCACCCTACGAAGGCTATTAGAAAATAGCCAAGATTGGTGACTGTTCAAAGAAATCGGTGCCCTCACCCACTGGTGGTAGATATACAAAATGGTACAGTCATTGTAGGATACACTGGGGCACCTTCTCAAAAAACTGTAAACTGAATAACCGTATGACCTAACAATTCCATTTCTAAAGGTCTTGAAAGCAAGAACTCATACAGATACTTCTACCCCCATGTTCATAGAATCACGATTCACAATAACCCAAAAGTTGAAACAACCCAAGCGTTCACTACCAGATGTCGGTGGGCACAGTGGGCTTCATTCATACAGTAGAATATTAGCCATCCCTAAGAAGGAATGAAGTTCTGTCACACACTAGGACATTGATGAATCTTAAAAACATCATGCTGAGTGAAATACCTTGGAGAAAAGAACTAACTGAACATGTCAGACAAAAGGGCAAACATATGATTCCCACTTAGGTGAAACATCTAGAATAGGCAAATGCATAGAAATAAAGATCAATCCGTGGTTACTAGGGACTGGTTACCACTTGCCTGACTGTTTGTCATACTCTGGTGGCTTGGGTGTTGCTGTGATGTTGAAAGCTATGTCGCTGGTCTTTTAAATGCTAGCAGGGCCACCCACAGTGAACAGGTTTCAGCGGAGCTCCCAGACGGAACAGATAACAGAGTAGAACTCAGCGCCCACTTCTGAGGAAGAAGCCGCTGCAAACCTAATACATAGCTTTGGAAGCATTTTCAAATACTGAAAGCCCAAACAAAGGAAACAGACATTGTTGGAGATGTGGCTCAAATCTGAGAGCACTCAGAGTGTGACTGAAGGGGAGATAATGTCTTGGAGGGGAGTCAACTGTGGTGCGGTGAGTCTGGTGAAGCCTGTAGGGGTGGAGACTTTGGGGTCTTCATTGGCTGATGGCGCACAACTCAAGGTAAAGAGAAACAGCTGCAAAAATCTTGTAATGAGTGGCACTTGGAATGTGTGAAGTATGAATCTAGGAAAATTGGAAGTGGTCAAAAATTAAATGGAGCTCATATAGATCAATATCCTAGGCATTAGTGAGCTGAAATGGACTGATATTGGCCATTTTGAATCAGAAAATCTTAAGATTTACTACGATGGGAATAACACAATCAAGAGGAATGGCATAGCATTCATCATTGGCAAGGGTCTTGCTAAATCCATCATGAAGTACAATGCTCTCTGTGATAGGATTATGTCCACCTTCAAGGAAATCCAATCAATACAAATGTTATTCAACTTTATGTACCAACCACAAAAGCTAGTGGTAAAGAAATCGACGAATTCTAACAGCCACTACAGTTGGAAATTGATCAAATATGCAATCAAGATGAACTGATAGTTACTGGTTATTGGGATGCAAAAGTTGGAAACGAAGGAACAGTGGAACAGCCAGAAATTCACACTGGATTCAGAAGAAGATAAGGAACAAGGGATATGATCGCTGAGGTCAGATGGATCTTGGCTGAAACCAGGGAATACCAGAAAGATGTTTATTTGTGTTTCACTAATGATGCAAAGGCATTCGACTGCATGGACCATAATAAACTGGATAACCTTGGGATTCTGGAACATCATTGTGCTCATGTGGAACTTGTACATGGATCAGGAGGCAGTTGTGTGAACAGAACAAGGGAATACTGCACGGTTTAAGATCAGGAAAGTGTGCATCAGGGTTGTATCCTCTCATCATACTTGTTCAATCTACATGCTGGGCAAATCATTAGAGAAGCTGGATTATATGAAGAAGAATGCAGTGTCAGGATTGGAGGAAGGCTTATTCATAACCCGTGGTATACAGATGACACAACGTCCCTTGCTGACAGTGAGGAGCAACTGAAGCACTTGCTAATGATGGTCAATGATTATAGCCTTTGGTATGGATTACAACTCAACGTAAGGAAGACCCAAATCCCCAGAAAACGTTGAAGCTGTCAAGGATGTTGTCTTGTATTCCCAATCAGTGCTCATGGGGGTCACAGTCAAGACATGAAGAGACATATTGCATGAGTCAATCTGCTGCACAGGACCTCTTTAGAGGATTGAAGAGCCGGGATGTTACTTTAAGGATTAAGGAGTGCCTGACCCAAGCCATAGCTTTCTCCATTGCATCACATGCATGTGAAAGTTGGACTGAGTAAGAATTGGTGCCTTTGAATTGTGGTGCTGGAGAAGAATACCGAGAGTACCATGAACTGCTAAAAGAACAAACCGATCTGTATTGGAAGAAGTAAGGCCAGAGTGCTCCTTAGAGGCAAGGATGGCAAGACTTCATTTTACATGCATTGGACATGTTGTCAGGAGAGACCAGTTCCTGGAGAAGGAGCACATGTTTGGTAAAGTGGATGGGCAATGGAAAAAAGGAAGGTCCTTGACAAGATGGATTGAGACAGTGGTGGCATCAGTGGGCTCAAGCACAGGAACAATTGTGAGGCTGGCTCAGGGCTGGCAGTTTCCTGCTGTCGTGCACTGGGCTCCTGGGGGCCTGACAGCAGCAACACAGACTGGGGAGCTTAAAGGCTGCTGGGTTTAGGTTAGGTAGATGAAACGGACAGTAGTGGAAATGGACAGTAGTGATGGCTACACAACAGAGTGGATGTGATTAATGTCACCAAATTGTTCTCTTCAAAATGGTTAAATGGGAAGTGTTTTGTTGAATATATTTTACAGTAACCCTGCCCCGCTCCAAGTGCTGAAGGGGTGGGGGGGCAAAAGTTTTCAGCTGAATAACTACATTAGTAAAAGAATAAACCACAGTGTGGTTGTAGATCATGTATCAGAATTTTTTCGGTTTTCACCCCGCTTCTTCAGGTTTTCCATTCACCTCTATCCACCTCTCCTCGTTTAGAAGGATGACAAGTTTTTTTATTTTTAAAAATTTTTGGTTCCCCCTTCCTCTTTTTCTCTCTCCCTTTCATCCCACTCCTCCATAAACATCTAAGTCTATTTTTCTTATTTGACAATCTTTTTTTTAATTGATTGATTTTTTCTTTTTTAGCAGTGGTCTCATACAGTAACTGTCTTGGTGTGATTGACTAGCTTCACTCAGTATAATATTTTCCGAATTCATCCATGTCACGAGGTGTTTGACATTTTCATGAGTCTTCGTTAGCAGTGAATAATATTGCATTGTATGTATGTACCGCTTACTCATCTATTCCTACACGGAAAAACATTTGGGTTGTTTCCATCTTCCTGCTATTGTGAATAGTGCTGCAATAAACATGGGTGTGAATATATCTGTTTGTGTTTTGCTCCTAATTTCTTTATAATATATACCAAATAGAGGGGTTGCTGGGTCATATGGTATTTCTATTCCCATTTGAAGAAATATTTTCTTTCATGAAGCATCGGCATTACTTTATTCCTAAAGGTTTATTGGACTCATAAAAATAGTTTCTGCACTTACACTTAAAATAATCATTTTGTTGGGGGCTTGTACAACTCTTATCACAACCCATCCATCCATTCATGCATGCATTTATACTCTTATTCTTGAATATTTGTGTCATAAGAAATGTTTCTCAGTTGGCCCAAGGGACTCATGGACCATGTGAGCATCTCTCTCCGTGATCTAGAGCCCCAAAGAATTAGAAGGTGCCCGGCTATCATGACCAACTGCTCAGAAAGGGGTTACAATAAAAGGTCCTGGATAGGGTGGGGGAAATAAGTATTACAAAACTCAAAATCATAAAGATGGCCAGGCTTACTGATTGTTGGGACTCCGGAGATTTGTATCTTAGTCACCCTCCCAGTGTGGAAATGAACTCACCCCCAGGGCTCAAGTTTCAGCCCAACAATAGTCCACAAAGGAAGCAGTGACCCTCGGGAGGCACGCACACCTTTGGAATAAGCAGGTGTTTGAGATGCAAAGGGCACTCTTTATCCAAGGACAAAGCTCAGAAGGACTAGGAAAGGAGGAGAGGAAACAGGAAACATAAGGAGAAGGTGTGATAAGTGGTGTTCCATTGTGGCGATTGCAATAAATGAGATGAAACAAAATGAATCATTGAATGGAAAACTGATCCGCTCTGTACGTGTCCATCCAATTCACAATGAAAAATTAACACCCCCCCCAAAAAAGTGAAACAAAAGAAATAATGTTTGTCTCCTCAGCTTTCATTAGGAAAGTGTTCCTCCTCCTGACAGTGCAGTTGCTTGCCACTGGGGCCATCATGTGCGTGTTTGTTCTCTGGTAAGTCTTTATTGCTGATGCAGAATTCAGTGTTAGAGTGCTCACAGTCATTTTCATGGAACTGACTTGATTTATTTTTTATCTTTTTTTTTTTAGTTCTGATCATTTAAAAGGCCTTGTGTCTATCGTTCACAGGCAATAATCTTTCTGTGGGGTTTCCTGGGTGGTAGAAATGACTTCTAACATAGAATTTGGCAGTTCAAACTCCCCCAAAAGTGGCTCGGGAGAGAACCCTGGTGATCTGTTTCGGAAAGGTCCCAGCCTTGAAAACCCTGTGGGGCAGGGTCACTCTGCACACACGGTGCTGGCCAGAGTTGAAATCAACTTGGCAGCAACTACCAACTACAACGATGCTGACAGTCTTTCCATGGTTTCATTTTTCTGAGACAACGCCTGGCCAAAGATGGTGGTATATCCTAGAGCTAAATTACTTCAATGTCCTAAGTCAAGAACGTTTTATCCTTACTTGGGGCACTTGCTTCTTTTTTCAAAACTTCCCCTGAGCTATGACACAGTTCACATTGGATTGTAAAAGGTGAGCTGATGAGGCCAGCACACTGTTCAATTCAGAAATTCCCAAGGAACCTGTGAGCTCTCACTTGCTAACGCCCTTTTAGGGAAACCTAGCGATTTACAAAAATATATTGAAATGTGATTTTTTTGGGTTGCTTTGTAACATATCAAGCTCAGTGCTTTTAAAAAATTGTCACCAGCCCATTAATCTAAATCTGACTTACAACTTGTAATAGTTATTTAAAGAGGAAAGAATGCTATGCTTCTCTTCATCTGATTTTTCCAGTGTTGCTCTTTCTTCTGCTCTTTTACCTCTACTTAACACTGACCTTGTTGTTGCTCGGTGCTGTTGAATGGGCTCCGACCCTCGTGAGCCTACCTACCTACCTATGTACAATAGAAGAAAGCACTGCTTGCAGCTCCCTCTCAGTTGGTGTCACGTTTGAGCCCACTGTTGCAGCCACTCTTGATTTGAATGGCTCCCAGTCTGAGGGGCTCATCTTCTGACACTATACTGGGCAATATTCCATATCATGCATGCGATGGCTAGCCCCTCAGAAGTCCCCTCTTCCTAGTCTGTTCTTAGCCTGGAAGCTCTGCTGATATCTGAAATACTGGTTACATAGCTTTTGGGATCACAGCACCACACAAGCCACCACAGTATAACCAACCAACAAAGGAGTGGGGAAATATTATGTTAGTTAGTGGGAAAAAAAACACACCCCAACAACTCCTATTTATTATTTAAGCCTATTGTGTAAAATTACATATATGTGTGTGCATATATTTATATATGTATATATTTTTTAATCAGGAGAGCTTTGAAAGTTTGGATACTCCTGAATCCCTGGTTCACCTATGCACTCTTGTAAGTATCATTGGATTGATTAAAAAAGCACTTCTTCTAGTAGGGGTTCTTTTATTATGAAAAATTAGGTGAGGTATAATATTCCTGAAATGAACATTATAGATGTGAAAAAGCAGTGTTTCCCAGAAGTTAGCAGTGTGGCTGTGTTATTATAAAGGAGTGGCACCCAAAGAGATCTTTGTGTAGAATAGCTTTGAATTGTTACTAGAATGGTGGTTATATCAATCTGCATATAGACTTGGCTTATAGTTCTAGGTCATATCCCACATCAATGTCGAGAAAATATTATAAAATGATATATTTAAAATGAAGGAAAGGGTCATATTTTTGTTTACCTTATTGTATGTATAAGGAACCCTGGTGGTGTAGTGGGTTATACGCTGTGCGGCTAACTGCAGGGTTGGCAGTTTGAAAGCAAGAGCCACTGCTCAGGAGAAAGATGAGGCTCCTACCTCTGTCACCACTGAGGGTTTTAGAGACAAACCCACAGGGGCAGTTCTGCTCTGTCCTCCAGCGTCCCTGTGAGTTGGAATGGACTTAGTGGTAGTGAGTTTGGTTTGGGTATACTATATATTATCATATAGTATCATGTAGTGATATGTAACATAGATCACATAATGTCATCATTGGAAGTCTGTAACACAAAGTTTTATATTATCCTTTAGACCAGCATTTTTAATTATATTTATTGTACTGGCTTGCTGTGAGCATATCCGTCATCAGGTGCCTACAAATTACATTCTCCTGGCAATCTTCGTAAGTACACCTGGGAACACCTCTTCCACCTCAGCTCTGTAATATATCTGAGTCACACTTCCAGGTTTATTCCTTTATCGTGGAAATTATTCCTCTGGAACCACGGAGATAGGAAATAACTGGGAGACATTACTTGGCTGAATTCGGTCATAGTAATATAAGTATAATTAACATGTTTATTTATGTGTTAGTTACCTTTTTAGTAATTTTTTTAGCAAATTGGAGAATTTGTGGATACTGGACTACTATTTTGTGGTGGCCAACTTGCTCTGTCAAGGTTACTTGGGGGACCCACTCCCTTGGCAGGGCTGCATTTCAGGAGCAGTTCACCCAACTGGTGCTGGCCTTTGGTCAAGCTCAACAAACATTTATTTAAATAGTGTGTTCCGCATAGAGCTCACAAGCCCATAAGAAGAAATGTAATTTTCTTAATTTTTCTAAAACACACTTACATTCAATTTCCAGTTCTTCTGGGGACAGGCAATTCGTGGAGTTCAGGTGTTCCTCTGTTTCCCCACATTGCATCTCTGCTCAGGCCGGTTTTTGTTGTTTTTTTCACAGTGCCATGGAGTCGGGAGTCGGGGAGCGGGCTTCGGAGCTTCTGCTATGCTCATCTTATCGTGGTCTGGTTCTTGGTAACCATGTCTCTCCCCACAGCCCTCCCCGTATCTGCCTGGCCCCGTCTGTCATTTATACCACTCTGGGCCACGGGAAACTGGTTGACTCTGCTTCTTGCAGCCAATTCCTCTTTGCGGGCCCCCCAGGACCTTGCCAGCTCTCAGTAGGTGCCTGGAACACCCAGATCGTCCGAGCTTTCTGAATCCTGTCATTTCTTGGCCTTGCTTACCTAGGGCTCAGCTCCTGCGTTGGCCTCAGGAATTCATCACACCTCCGTAGCCTCTTTCTCCCACTTGTTCTGACTCGCGGAGTCAGGCCCAGCCCTCCTTGCTGGAGGCAGTGGTTTCGCTGATGCACATTGGGGGCATGTTTTCCTCTTGGGAAACTCAGAAGCATCTCAGTGTGATCGAGGGTAGTGCCCAGAGATGATTCTTTTTTTATTATTAATTTAATTGGGGGCTCATACAACTCTTATCACCATTCATACGAGATGATTCTTTTGAGTAGAGTTTACAGTCCCTTCAAGCAGGGTAGATCACCCTTTCGTGTAAACACAATATTTACTTGTGAACTGCTTTCTTCCTCATCTGGGCTCAAGTCATATTTGAGGTCATTTATAGCAATAACCCGATGTCAGAAGATGAAATAAATTGATAGGGAAATCTGGTGGAAGGAAGAATAAGAATAGATTAGTAGATGTTAGATCGGTGCATAAAATACTGTCAGTCCTCCCAATATAATCCAGTGTGGTGGATTTGGCTCTGAGTTTGCGGGTGGCCAAACCAAGCAGAGCACACGGCTGACAAGGAGGTTACTAGCCCTTTGTTCTTGATATGTGGGGAGACTAGCGATCACCCAATCCTGCAGAAGACTGACTTGACAGTGCCCGCAATTTGGCATTTCCTCAGCTGATAGACTGTTGAGGATGTCCCTTAGTGGGTTGGCGATTGCCCAGGTGAGCAGGTGGGTTCTCTGTTAGGTTCTCTGTCACTGCTTGGACCTTATGTGGGTGTCTTGAAGCAAAAGCTTCTGAATAGAAGGAACTATTTTCTCCCGGACATTTTGAATATTTTGCCTAAATTTTTTTTTCTTGTTCATTGAAAGAATAGATCAAATTATTGAGCTCACAGGATATGTTTTGCCTCGGAGCAGAGAACAGTTTACCCTTTTGAAGACTGGGTTATTTTCTGCTTTGAATTATGTGTTGAAAGCACGCGCTTTTAGGAATGGAAGGCCTTTTGAATGGAATGAGAATAAGTTTTGAGGTAATATGGAATTTGATATCGTGAGTGGCACACATATGTTCCCAGGGCTCTCTGGTGCTGGGATTGGAGGGATTATGCTCACTCATTTCTTCAGATGGACAGAGCCATATATTCCCTTACAGATGACAGCCTGCACTGAAAGTGGGATCGTTGTTTTCCACCAGACCTCAGAGATGGAAAATGTGGATGGACACTATGTCTCATGCAAGGGTTAAGAGAAGAAATAGTCGAGCAGGGCTTAACATTCGTTACATTTTCTAGGTTCAGTGTCTCCCCCAACGGCGAGGGAATATGTGGAAAAAGCCATTTCAGAAAGTAGATTGAGGGACAAAAAGGAAAACCCACTCACCGAGGAGAGCATGTGTCTGTAAAACTCTGGCCCCTGAAGTCCATGCGCTGGACTCTTTAAGGCAGGTCTGACTTCTAAGGCATCTTGTTACCACTCTTCCCCAAATCGAAAGGCAGCTTGTAGTTTGCCATTTGTTTGCCATTGTAGTTTCTCCATCCCCTCTCTCTGTCTCTTTCGCACACGCAAACACGCACACAGCCACTTGTTCATAGCTGCTGAAAATGGAGAAATGTGACACAAATGAGCTCGTAGAAGAGATGGAAATTAATCTTGAGAGGAGGTTGGAAAGTAGCACGTCTTTAAAGTCAGTGTTATGTGTAAACAAAAGAGAGGCATCTTTCCTTACAGTGGACATAGACAGTCTGCTTAGCTAAGTTTAATAAAGTGGAGAACTGGGCAATTAGCCAGCAGGTTTGGGAAATCCAAGAGGCTTCCTGGGATTCTAATCTTCCAGCCTTTAATTTTGCGCATGGTTGGCTGGCTAGAGTTGGTGCTCGGTTAGCAGTTCTAGGATGTGCGGTGGCTCTGCCTGCTCAGTTTCACTCACTTAGTCTGGATGGTTCTTTCTTGGCTCTCGTCCTAGGTGAGCAGGGCCGCCAAGATTCTGGATTTGCCTCTGACCGGCTGCTGCATGTCTTCAGGCCCCCAGCCAGTGCTCACTGTAGGTCCATGAGCCCTGTCCGCTGTCCCAATCCTGACCTGGCCATAGGCATGTCCTCAACTGCCTTGTCCAGTTTCGCAGCCCAGCATGACTGCCTGCTGCCTTGCAGCCCCCCACGCCTGCCCCCCTCTTACCCAGGCAGCGCCCCAGACCTCAGCTCCTGTCAGACGCTGGGAACCCTTCAGCCCTTCTCCAAGTCTTCGCACGGCCTCACTTCCCCCTGACTTGCCCTCGGTTGGCATCTGTGGGTCCAGCCCCGTGCCCTCCAGGTTCATCTGCACTGAGACAGTCTCAATTTTCCTCCCAGGTTTGAGGTCTTAGAAGTCTTTGATTCTTACCTGGACACCTGGAAAAGGCCAGCGGTGAAATTGTTGGGGAAACACTGGTAGAAATAGCATCTCCTGCCCTGGTCCCACATGATTAAACCCTGTGGACGGGCAATCTTTGCCAGAGGGATGTAATACATCAAGGGGGGTGGAAAGACTGTGCTAGCAAAACTAGATCTCCATTTGCAGAAAAATGAAACGGGGTCCATATGTCTCACCATATGCAACAGATCATTTAAAACTGTCAATATCACTGACGGAGAACTGGGGATAAGCTTAGAGGCCCTAATAGATGACATAAATACACCATCAAATATAACTAAAACCACACAGACAGTAGAAGAAAGAGCCAGATGACCGTGACTTCCTAAAAAATCACACTTTTATTCACTTCAAATACTTTGCCAAAATAGCAAAATTAAAGCCTATGAATTTAGGGGCGGGGGGTGGTCACAGTATACCAGACAAGAGACTAAAGAAACCCCTCAAAACCAAAAAACCACGAAGCAGGGATTTGCTTTTGTCCATTTCTGAGAGAATGTGAAGGGCCTGCATGGCTCCTGTGTTTCTCTCCCGCAACCCCCGTAGCTGTGTGCACTGGGCCCTGCTCCCCAGGTCTACGCCGACGCCTGGCCTGACTTGACCGCCTCCCGCCGGGGGCTCTACTTACCTTGGGAATCAGCCTCTAACTTACTGTGAATTTTGTTTTTAGACAGTTCTTCAAGGTCTGCTGCTGGGAACTCTAACAGTGTAAGTCTTTGATAGACATTTTCTTCTTTGGGCATGATTTCCCGTGTGTACTTGGGCAATAACCACGGTCTCTGGTTTCAGTTTCTATAACGCCAACGAACTGTTCTGGGCCATCCTGTCCACTGCCGTGGTGACGTTTTCGCTCACCATTTTTGCTCTGCAAACAAAAGTACGTATGATTGCAGCAGATGTCATCACTGCCGGGGCGGTGCTGAGGGAGATTGCCTCCTCTGAGCCTCCTCCCTGCCCTCTGCTGCCCCGCATCCCAGCTCGCCTGGCCCTGGCTTCCCACGGGGCCTGCCCAGTGGAAACCTGGCTAGCCAGAGATTCCAGGGCAGGAGGGGAGAGGGAGGGATATTTATTCCTGTGGTGTTGTCCTGACGAGTTCTTGGGCTAGCTGAGTTCCTCAGCCCAACTCCTCTGCTCATCTCCATGCAACCAACTCAATACACGTGGCTCTCTTTGAGTTTCTGTTGCTGCTTCCTCTCCTCTTCCCTGGGCCACTTGCTGTGGGCCATGGCATCAGTTCTGACCCATAGCGACCAGCAGGACAAAGTAGAACTGCTCTAGAGAGTTTCTGAGGCTGTCATGGCTACAGAAGCAGACGGCCGGGTCTTTCTGTTGAAGAGCCACTGCGTAGCAGCCAAGCACCTCGTCCTCATCACACCAAGGCACCTATTCTTTGGGCCTGAGAGGGGTACTAGCTCTCTGGTCTATAGTATAGTCAAGGATACTGCCCTGCGCCTCAGGGTTCCCTATGCAAGCATGTAAGTAAACCCTCCTTGTGGTAGCGATTGTTCACTTCTTGATATGACTGAACTTCTCTGAGCATCCTGTTGGGTGGCTGTTGGGTAAAGTGTGGAATGCTAACCAGGTCAGCTGTTCAAGCCTCACAGTCGCTCTCGGGGAGAAATGAGGCTATTTGTAAATAGCCTGGTAAAGATTTCAGCCTGGAATGCCTTCGATAGGGTGGCTGTGAGTTAAATCAACTTGTTGGAGTGATTTGAAAGCAGCCTACAGGAGCCTTGGTGGTGCTGTGGGTTAAGCATGAGGATGCTAATCACAAGGTTGGCAGTTCAAACCATGCAACCATTCAGTGAAAGAAAGATGAGGCTGTCTGCTCCTGCAAAGATTTGCAGACACGTAAACCCTACGTAGGGTTGCTATGAGTCAGAATCAACTTAATTAATGGTTGTGGGTTTGTTTTTGTTTTGGTACGCCCACGTGTTGCAATGGTTAATGCAGTTGTCTGCTAGCCACAAGGTCGATGATTCAAACCTACCAGCCACTTTGCAGAAGGAAGATGTGACAGTCTGCGTTCATACAGATTTATAGCCTTGGAAACCCTGTGGGGGCGGTTCTACTGTATCTTATAAGATCCCTAAGGGTGGGGACCACTTGAGGGCAGTGGGTTTGGTTTTAGTTTGGTAGGGATGTGTGTGTGTGTGTGTGTGTCGAGGTGGGGATAGGGACAATAATGGATGTTCCTCCAGTGGTGCGGAAGCTTTTCCTGTGAGACCCACACTGGAAGAGCTGTGGTCTGGATAATTCTATACCTAAGGGTAGGATGGACAACCAGTTACAAGTGGCTGCCATCAAGTTGACTCTGGCTCACAGAGAGCGATCCCATGCATGCCAAAGCAGAAACGTGCCCCTGCGGTTTCCACGGGGGTCCTTTGGAAGTAGATCACCAGCCTTCGGGTCGGTGCAAACTGCCACCTTTGAGTTGGGATGCAGCATGTATCTCATTTTGCCACCGCAGGAGCACTGGGAGGAAGAGAGGGAATTAGGGAAACTCCTTGAATTCAAGGGTGTTCTTTTGTGACTAGATCAGTTTTCTCAGACCAGAAGATGAATATCTGCTTTGTTTAAAAAAGCTAACTCTCCCCAGGCTGATTTGGACTCTTGATTTATAAAAGAAAAAGGGGAAAGCACATCTATACATTGAAAAAGTACAAAAGAATCATGAATGGCAATTTTGAGAGCTTCTTGTCTATTTTTCATATATATATGATTCGGTTGATAACTTTGTATGTTTTATTCCATTAATGTTATCTATGCACATAGTTTTGAAAATATGAATCTTTATGATCATATTTAGAAATTTCTGTTCTGCTTATTCAGTGTAGCTTTTTATTACAAGGGGAAATGTCACATAAATGCAAAAATAGAATAATAAAAATCCCATGTACCCATCATTCAGTTTCAAAAATGATCACTTGTTACTACTACCATTTCATCTGTACCCCTACATTCTTCTCCAGGCACACTCCGGTCAAAGAATACTTGTTAAATACTGTATTTCAGTGTTTGGGGCTAACTGATTTCCATGGGTCTCTGAGCTGGCCAGGATCAACTACTAGCAAATGGGCCAATTTCTGTCTATATTGTAGAAAACACATGTCCACCCCCCTACCCCTACCCCACTTTCTCCTAGTCAGTCGCTCAGTTGTTCTGGTGTTGTTTGTGTTTCCTCAGTTGGACTTCACCTTGCTAAATGGAGTGCTGTTTGTTTCTCTCATCATATTACTGCTCTACGGGATTGTCCTCATCTTCATACGATCGTATGTAAGTAGAATCTCATCTGGATAATTACTAGAAATACAGTCGAGGTGATGGCTGCATTAACCTGGTCCTCTGAGAAGCAGGCCCCAAAGAAGGTTCTCTAGACAGAGGGGTGTTCTTGGAGGGGAAGGTTGGGGAAGGCTAGGAGTCCTGTGAGGGAGAGAAGGAGGAAGGAGGTTTGGATGGATGCCTTTCAGATGTGGTGTAGCATAAGGCGGGCTCAGCAAAGTCGTCAGGGAAACCTTGAGCCCAAATCGGCAGTTGAAGAGTCTCCTGTTTCCTCCTGGTCCGAACTAATAACTGGAAGTGGACCTGTGGCCTGGAGACTTCAGAGCACAGCCCTGGAGCCCTCAGTCACTTAAATTCCTGGCCTCCAAAAGTGACGGTATGTAGTTTTGTGGCAACTTGATAAATAGAGTGAAGGGGTGGCCTGCCAATCAGGTCACAGCCTGATGATGCCTCCTTGTGGGCGTGGCCTTCTCATGAGGATTCTGGAAGCTTCCTCTCTTTCCACCTGGAGGCAGGATACACACTTTGCTTTATCTTTCTGCTGGCAAGACACTCAGAGAGCTGGAGGAGCCACGTGGAGACCCACAGCCATGCTGAGATGCTGCCACTGACTTTGGATCCACAAGACCTGGACTGTGATCATCCTGCATTTGGCATCATTGCATGTGCTGCGTGAGCTTGAAGAGAAATTTATGGACTAGTATTGGACAAATGGGCTAATATTGGACTTATGGACTTGATCTGGACTGGGCTGGGGATGTTTTCTCAACATACAATTGCTCTTTGATAGAAACCTCTTTCTTATACACATGTGAGTGTCTTTGGATTTATTTCTCTAGTCAACGTTGTCTTTCACATGGCCATCCTCATAGCTGCTGAATTGGTGGTGGTGGGAAGGTCCCATGAGTCTGGGGGTGGGTGTCTATTCTGTACTCCTACCTTTTGAAGATGAACTTGGCATCAGGATTGGAGGAAGGCTTACTAACAAACTGTGGTAATATGCAGACGACACAACCTTGGTTAAAAACAAGAAGGACTTGAAGCACTTTGAACAAAATCAAAGACTGCATTCTTCAGTGTGGCTTGTAACTCCACACTGATAGGTAAAGAAGACCCAAATCCTCACTACTGGACTAGGAGGTCACATCATGATCAATGGAGAGAAGAGTGAAGTGCTCAGGGTTTTCACCTTGCTTGGATCCAGCAGTCAAGAGATCAAATGGTGCATTGGGCACATTTGCTGCTCCAGACCGCTTTAAAGTGTTGAAGTGAGGGTGTCACTTGGTGAACGAAGGTGTGCCTGACTCATGGCATGGGATTTTCAGTCACCTCTTATGCTTGTGGAAGTAGGACAATGAAAAAGGAAGACTACAGAAAGATTGATGCATTGGAATCATGGTGGTGGCGAAGAATATTGTAAGTTCCGTGGACTTCTAGAAGAACAAACAAATCCCTCTGGAAGAAGTACAGCCAGCATGCTAAAAAGGGAGATGGTAAGACTTCCTCTCATATACTTTGGACATGATATCCTGGAAAAGGACATCATACTTGGTCATGTGAGGATAACCGGGAGGGGGGGCAAGGAGAGGAAGACGCTCAAGGAGATAGCTTGACCCAGTGGCTGCAACCCAAGTCTGAGGATGGCGCTGGCCCAGGCAGTGTTTTGTCTGTTGCACATGTGGTCACTAAGAGTCAGAGCCGACTAGGGGGCACCTAAGAACAGCATCACAACCCTAGACCACAGTGGTCTTTTCCCAAGAGGGGCTAAAGCAAAGCCTACCCCCAGGGGCAAGCCAGGCACCCTCTTCTGAAGTGGGTGGGTTGCCGTGAAGCTTTCTATGCGAGGATTTGCTTGTTCTCTTTCAGAGATTTTCTTTTTAGCTCAGTATCCTTCCAACCTGATTACAGTAGCATAGCTTGACCATGGGTTGTAAATTTTAAGGCTGGTGGTCAAGAACTCCAAAATTTCTTTAGCAAAACACACAGCACATGGTTTTCGTTTATTCGGATGAAAATATTTTGAATTTCTACAAGTTTATCTGTTGCACCAAGCAGTCTGAATAGGAAACTGATGGGCATGGGCAGGAGCCAGCAGATGCTGCTACTCATGTGGAGTAATGGAAAGTTGGGCTTGTGAGACCTTTTTGTCCTGAAATGCACTCGTTAAATGTGTACTAGATGTCAGACATAAACTGATGTCATGAAATTGAATTCTCACATTCCTGCAAAGTCCATAACCGTTTTATAGATATTGAAACAGGCCCCGAGAAGTGAGCTAGCTCCTCCAAGTGACAGAGGATGGCATCAGAGGCAGGTCTGATGTCACACGGGTGGTAAATGAATGATTCTGCCTGGCCCAGTGCTGTCTATCTGTGCGTGGTCCTGTGCTAAGAGACAGGGTCCACTGAGTTGCAATCCACACCGAATTAATTTTGCTTTCTTTAATTTTCATTAAAGGGCTTCATGTCCACCTTTCTTCCAGCAAGCCAAGGTTGTGTAGTCTATAAAGTACCACAGGCTGTTTCTGAGCTATTACAAACTCTTAGATGTTCCATGGGAGAAAGAGAGTCAAAATCAACTCAATGCCAGTGGGTTGGGTTGGGTTGGGTTGGGTTGGCCAGGGGTCTGAGGATCATGGAACAAGTCTGTTTGTTGCTAAAGAATCTCTTTGGTACAGCATTGGGACCATGCTGGCCAAATGAGCATCGGTCCTTGCGGTTAGCAGCCCAGCACCAAATTCAGAGCCGCATGACCAACTGTTCTGCCAAAACTGGTGTAGTTTTAGAATGACAGTGTAGGCGCACAGCCAGGGAGGTAGCATGTCCATTTTAGGGATAAGCTCTAAAGGCAACAGAAAATGCGGATGGGCGTTAAAGGTCACAGCCCTCCATTTATTGCTACTCATGGTAGCACACATATTGTTAGGAATAATGCAAATAGTTATTAGATGGACTCCGTAGAATTTTATAACATATCGAAGTCAGCGGTGTAATTCAGCCAACTTGCACCAGTTCGCAAGAACTGATACCTAATTTTTAAAATATCATTTTATTAGGGGTTCATACAGCTCTTATCACAATCCGTACATATATCAATTGTGTAAAGCACATTTGTACATTGATTGCCCTCATCATTCTCAAAACTTTTGCTCTCCACTTTAGCCCCTGGCATTAGGTCCTCATTTTTTCCTCTTCCTCCCCACTACCCCCTCCCTCATGAACTCGTGATAATTTATAAATTATTATTTTGTCATATTTTGCCCTGTCTGACATCTCCCTTCACCTACTTTGCTGTTGTCTATCCCCTAGGGAGGAGGTCACATGTAGATCCTTGTAATCGGTTCCCCCTATCCAACCAATCCTCCCTCTACCCTCCCAGTATCGGCACTCACACCACTGGTCCTGAAGGGATCATTCGCCCTGGATTCCCTGTGTTTCCAGTTCCTATCTGTACCAGTGTACATCCTCTGGTCTAGCCAGACTTGCAAGGTAGAATTGGGATCATGATAGTGTGTGTGTGTGTGTGGCGGGGGTGGGGGGGATGGGAGGGTGAGGAAGCATTTAGGAACTAGAGAAAAGTTGTATTTTTCATCGTTGCTACATCACACCCTGACTGGCTCATCTTCTCCCCGAAACACTTCTGTAAGGGGATGTCCAGTGGCCTACAAATGGGATTTGGGTCTCCACTCCGCACTCCCCACCTCATTCACTATGGTAAGATTTTTTGTTCTGATGATGCCTGATACCTGATCCCTTCGACACCTCATGATCGTACTGGCTGGTGTGCTTCTTCCATGTGGGCTTTGTTGCTTCTGAGGCAGATAGCCGCTTGTTTACCACCAAGCCTTTAAGACCCCAGACGCTATACCTTTTGATAGAGGGGCACTATCAGCTTTCTTCACCACATTTGCTTATTCAGCTGCTTTGTCTTCAATGATTGAGTTGGGAAGGTGAGCGTCATAGAATGACAATTTAATAGAAGAATGTATTCTTGCATTGAGGGAGTACTTGAGTGGAGGCCCAATGTCCTTCTGCTACCTTAATACTAAACCTATAAATATATGCACATAGATCTATTTCCCCAGCCCATATATAAATATATTTGCATATGTACATGTCTTTATCTAGACCTCTATAAATGCCCATTGCCTCTCAGCTTTTTCTTCTATTTCCATTGACTTTCCTCCTGTCCCACTATCATGCACAGTCCCCACCAGGGTTTCAGCAATTCCTCTTGGTTACATTACCCTTGATCATGATCTCCCAGACCCCCCACACCCTCCTCACCACCGATTTGGATCACTTGTTGTTCCCTTGTTCCTGGGTTTGTTAATACCACTCCCTTTCCCTCCACCTCCCCCTCTCCCATGTCCCCCAGGAACTGTCAGTCCCGTTGTTTTCTCCTCCAGATTGTTCATCCAGCCTATCTTATTTAGACAGACCTGTGGAGAGAATAACATGCACAAAAACAAGACAGAGCAAAACCAAGCAACAATGTGCAGCAAAACAGTAACAACAAACCAATGACAAAAAACCCAAACAAAACACAACAAGAAAGAAAATCTTGTAGTTAGTTCAAGAATTGTTTGCTGGCATTTAGGAGTGTTTTCCAGTCCAGTCTGTTGAGGTACCACGCTCTGGCCCCAAAGTCCACCTTCAGCATTCCCTGGGGACCTCGCCTTTCCATTCCCTTGCTGTTCTGTTGTACCCCCTTATTGTTTTGCCTTGGTGTGGTGGGATCAGATCAAGTGCAATTCCCACACTGTGTCTCTGGTGTTGTCTCCTGTAGGCCTATGGGTCAGTGAGGGGGAGAGGTAGGTGTCCACTTAGTAGTTGGAATTGGGGCTGGGTCCCCAGACTTCTCCACTGGTTCCCTACTCCATGCCGGCATGTTGCATTCACAT